TAAAATGAAGCTTTTGTTGTTACAACACACCCTGTTTTGGGTGCAGCGGTTAAAAACTCATCAAGCAATAGGACTGGGTTGTCAGACAGTTTTCTTTGCCTCTTCATGATTTGTGTATGATTTGTTATGGTCAAGCTGAACAGAGAACGAGTTTCTTTGACCCAGGTTACATGCCGCCATGGTATCAGAGACTGTATTTAAGAAATCTTAATCACATGAATTGGAATTAATCAGTGGATAAATGTGCATAAAATTAAAAGGCATATTATAATTTTTCTAAATGTCTTAAAAAAACATCAAATGTTTTAATGCGATATTTGTTTCCCAGATCCTGTCTTAGAAGAAGCATCTTTCCTGTGTGAGAGAAGGGAGGGTACTCTTCTAAATCATGTTGCCTGATTATTTGGGGTCACAATTTTAGTTTTACCAAACTAATTTAAGCACAGATATCTTTTCCATGTAAAGAGATATGCTAGAAACGGACTGTGTTTTGGCTTTGGAACAGAGTTTGCAAGTTAAGACTTTGATTTCCCAGCTGACACCTTACAAGTGCTCCACCTTGACAAAACAGGTTTCAGGAGCATCATTGCCACACAATGTCTTTATACTTGCGTAACTGGCTAAACAGCACCAGCATAGTCCCGTGTGCTGTAAAATAACATTAAATATTACTTTTGAGGACGCATATGTTAAAGCTTCCATGAACAAATCTAGACTTGTGGCTGCTGGTAGCTTCTACGGTTGACCTCAATAACCCAAAGCGTGAAAATCAAAGCAGAGCCCAACCCAATGCACCTCAATTACATTTCCAGGAGCCTTGTTTATTCTTCTCCACCTTCCACTCTCCCCCATCCGATTACTATTGGGCAAGGGGAAAGAGTGGGGATGAATCTGCCTGCACATCCCTGTTGCTGTTGCTTCTGCACCCACCCATGTGTTGGGTGCTGAATGCCTACAGCAGGGAACCTGTTGGATGCCAGTAGACAGTCTGCACCATTTAGAAGCCTGATTTTCCAGAGTTGTAGATCATGCATGGAAAACGTATGCAAGAGAAAAGGCTTCGTGCTGCAGAAGTTCAACCGCCAACAGGCAGAAGTCTTACAAAATGGTGGGGGATAAGGGGCCAACTCTCCCACTTGCCCAATGGACATTTTGAGGACGGGAGAATGAGTTAATAGCACTTAGGTGGTTCCAGGTACTGTGATCCACAAGGTTGTGGCATGTCAACTAAGCCCTCACCCTCTCCCTGCAGCCTCAGTCATCAAAATGCATAATGTCAAGGGATAACCTTGGCAAGGTCAGCCCAGCATTAGGCAACTGGTTCAGGCAGCTGATTTCGGTCATCATGAAAGAGCAGCAAAATCGTTCAATTGATTATTATTCTTATTTCCAGAGGGGAGGAGTGCTTGAGGGGATTTTCTGGCCCAGGTGCCGAAATAACTTGAGCGTCTTTGGGTACTTGGATTCAGAAAAGGCCAACTAAAATTATCTACTTGCATAAGAGGTTACTATCCTGTCACTAGCTTCCGTGTGTCTTCTACACTGGTACCTCAGGTTACAGATGCTTCAGGTTACAGACTCCACTAACCCATAAATGGTACCTCGGGTTAAGAACTTTGCTTCAGGATGAGAACAGAATTTGCACGACGGCAGCAGGAGGCCCCATTAGCTAAAGTGGTCTTCAGGTTATGAACAGTTTCAGGTTAAGAATGGACCTCCAGAACGAATTAAGTTCTTAACCCGAGGTACCACTGCATATGCAAAATGGAGAAAGGGCACCATTTTGCCCTTGGGCCAGTCCTGTGCTTGAAAGACCCACGCAGCTCAGAAATTCCAACACTGATACATCAAACCTATGCAGCCAGATTCCTTGAAGATTTGATTTCCATGCACAACAATGAAACAGTCAAAACCAGTCTCCCACTGAGCAGCTGGGAAACTAAAATGCTACCCATGGATCCCTTTGCAAGACATTAGACTTTTTAATGTTACAATTTTATTGTTAGACGATGCTGTCTCCGTATTAAAGTTGATTTATACTCTCTTCGAATATTCTAATTTTATGAAGTATTGATAATATACCCATTTATCATGTTCTGTTTTATTTCTTGTATTAGATTTCCTTGAGGCTCTCAAGTATGACACAGATACGCAGGGAGCCTGTTCTAGTAGTAGCTTAGAGATTGACCGTTCATCAGTTATATCTGCCTAGTATTGCTGAAAAGCTTGGGTCCAATATTTTCTTTTTACTTGCAATCTAATTATTTACTTTTGTTTTAGGACCACTTAGGTAGATGGCTTAAAGGAATGGAAAATCTAATAAAAATGCTAGCATAGCAGCAGAATCCTGCACACAATTGTTTGGATCCAAATCAACACATTATTACTGGGTGACCTCCACAAGGCAGATGATGTAGGCTAGCAAGCACAGTATTCAAGGGATCTGTTCAGAACCAAGATAGGGATGAAACGCCATACTGAATAAACAAACTAAATGTTAAAGATGTTATTGTTGTGAAAGCATCAATGCAAAAAAACCAAACCAACCACCAGCCCTTCCAAGACACATCCTCCCTAAAACACAGAACTGTCACATCTTCTCCTAACTGGAAACAGTCGCCATCCAGGGTTTTGCATTTCCATCTCCAAGATAAAGTCCTTCTCTGACAGTCTCAATGGTAATTTACCTTCAGAGTGAGGCTGTCACCCAATTAAAGAGATAATGAATTAGCTGGTTGTGACTTTTAATCGAATTAAATGTGAACACATTTGCATATGAATAAAACAAGACCTTGAATTGAAGAAAGCATATTTTAGATAACACACATTTGGCAGCAGGCTTAGAAGAAGTATCCACTCCTGAGTGCAAGAAGATAGAAGCAGTGACGACTGTGCCTGACATTTGAAGTTTTTATTAGAACTGTCCCCAAAATTTCTTTTTTGCACTATTTGTTAAGGTGGGTGGATGAACTCCCCCTGCAAAATCATGAGGGGAGGGAAATAAATGTCTTAAAATTTTTCAGGAGGGGGTTTGGCATTCCTGGCTCATTGCTTTTTTCACAGGCTCACCAATGCCACATTGCAGAATGCCGCTCTCAAGCCATTCCACGTTTGGCAGTAGGAAGTGGCACGCAACTTTCTCCATAGCTTCCTGTTACCCACACTTCACGGTGACAACCAGTAAGGACAGTGGCAACACCCTAAAAAATACATAAATTTATCCTGTTCCCCAAACAGCAGAAACTTGGCTGCTTTCATAAGAATATATTCAACACCTGGGAAGGGGAGATTTCAACCCAGCCTTCGATTTCATAAGCGTTTAGAAATTTTGATAAATAGCAGAATATAAATTTAGGGGTATCTGTAAACACACCCCAGCCAACTAAATGCATAAACCATTGTTTAATTTTTATAACTGTAAAGTTTGCAACACTATAAAAACAGATACAAAATAATTAGAAAACAGATCAAAATTCAGTCCTGACAAGAGAAATGGGTTTTCAGTAACAATGATCACTAAGGAATCTTAAAATCATGGAGTTATAAGGGACCTTCAAATTCATCCAGCCAACTCCCTGCTCAGTGGAGAATGCAACGTAATTATTTGAATAGGACCATTGTGATGCCCCAAAGCAGCAATCACCATGTGAGCATCATGATGTAAAATACCAAACCAGTAATTCAGCTTAACACATTGCAACTTACTGATTGTGATTGGCACAACTCTATCAGATCAGAAAGGAAGTCCTATAAGCAAGCAATCCATTGAGTTCTCTGTAGATGCCTCCGCAATATTTACAGGTGCATCAATTAGAAGGCAACAAATAGGTCGTTCGCTGGATTGGTTGATGCACTATGAAGCTTGAAAGGGGGGGTTTAAAATTTTATTTTCTGGAATACATGGGAAAATATTAAAATCAAATGTCAATAATCCCTTGATTTACAAACCAGTTGAAAATCAAACAGTTATAGAGATTTTATTTTGACATTTTTCATTGAAGAAAACAGTTTAACAGTAATATGTGGTTTCATTGTGCATTTTTTTTAAAAAATGCTGTAAACTAACGTGTACCATTTAATTTTTTTGTTGAAAAAGCATTCTTGGAGACTTTATAAAAATGTTAAACCTCATGGGCAGGGGGAGGATGAGAGGAGACAAGAACTCGTAGTCTGCAGGACCCTATATTGTTACTCTCATTTGCAAAACACACACATATATTGCTAAATGGGTGGAATGCTACCAGAGGCCTCCGAAAGGACTTGGGCCAAAACTGCAGTGGAAATGGGCCTATACTGTAGAATGAATGGGCCAGTTATCAGTAGCAAGACCAGCTGACGGCTGTGTACAATTAGCAGCATTTGTCAATCTCCACAGCCCTAGCCATGGAATACATCGTTCTCACAATGTGTGCCAGCCTCTAGTGTTTGGCACCTGAGTGCCCGCATGGCTTCGAAACAAAAACCACCCAATACTCATTGCTATCTTACACAATGAGGTATTTCATCCATACTGGCATGACTACAATGCAACTGCTAATCAATGTCAGTTGGCTGGAACAATCGTGTTAACATTAGCACTACCACTGTCGAAACTGTACTGTCAGGTCCAAGCTAACTGTACCATTGCGCAGTGCAACAGAAGCTCCCCAAAAGGCAACCATCTAGAAATAGTGGATTTGATGCGCATCATTTCTTTTTAAATCAAGGCTTGGCTGATATCAGTATGTGGACTGTTTTATTACCCTTTGTGCACTGCTGATATTTTAGTTCAACCTTTTGTGCTTGGAAATATGATGCCTTACAAAAGCATTACCAAAATGATCTACTTTGAATTCCACTCACCAAAAATATAGGGCAAATGTGCTCCTTTCTAGGACAGACGAGAGCTAGCTGCATTCTGAACAAGCCGAGTATAGTAAAGAATGTCACTCTTTGATTTGTATTTTTTTATTTCCGCTAGAAAAGAAGGAAGTGAATGGTGCAAAGAACCCCAACAGACGTTTCATTAAATAAATTTATTTGTTAAAATAATTTAACTCCAAATACAACTGCTGAGTTTGCATTGAGTTCTATGTACAATTTGATTTATTTTGAAACATCATGATTTAAACAACTGACACCTTATAAAACTTGCTGCATTTTTTTTTCTTCAGTTATCAGTTGTAACAGAGCTCAACAATCAACTGTTAAATATCTTTATTCAACTCTAGGAAATCCCAAATTGTCAATGGTTAAGCCTAGTTTTCAAAAACACACTGCAATCATTTCTGGAAACCTCGATCAAGAACTGACAGAGGAATAATGCACATTAGAATTCCTGCAGCTGCCAAATTTGCTTTGTCATGGAGTTTTGTAATTACAGTCCAAGTGGTGCTTCAACTGCACACTGGTGAAAAATCATGCATCCCTCCACCCTAAGATGACAGTAGGCAGCATGTGTTACATAGAAAAGTCAATACCAGTACATTTCCCCACAGACATTAATGGCAATTTTAGAATTAGGAGTGTAGGTAAAAGGACTGTTCCATTGTTGGTCCTATCAGAAGAAAAAGTCCTGAAAAGCTGCTATGAATATTTGCTGGGGGTGGCGGGCGGCGGGGGGGGGGGGTAACCTTACCTAAAGAAACAAACAAACCACAAAGCCTTTAGAACTAATGCTGGTTTGATTAACGTTTGCAGAGGGCAAAGGAGGAATTATTTTCCCCTTCTATTTTCAAAAGAAGTTACAACCATTTATATGACAATATAAACTTAAAAATGCCAGCTGCAGAAAAATACAAAGCTCTATAAGAAAAGCTAAAGAATAGTAGGTCTTTGGATTAAATTATAATATTTTAAGGCATGTTAGACCCCCCCCCAAAAAAATTACTACCATTGGAATCTGATCGGGATACAAAAATAAGCAGTTATCCTTAACGAGCTACTCCCAATAAGTATAATGCCACTGATGCATGCCAGTGTGCCCCTAGTGCGCATTTATACATGAGGGAGTGCCACCACTGCGATATGTTTCAGGAAGTTACAGGGTCTATACTTGAAGAGTGTGACTAACCCAGTGGCATGGGTCTAGGGATGCCAAGTGGTCTGGGTCGGGGGGGTGGTGGCAATCCCCTGACTTAATTCTAAGCACAACTTCAGTGTCAGCCAGCGGGGCGAGGATAAAATCTTGATGCAACGGAGACATGTCCGGGAGAAGCCCTTCACTGGAATAGGCTAGAAAGAGGGGAGGGAGAAATCAACACAGGAGCAATGGCACCTCTTGAATTGGCACTAGATAACTGGTGACACAAGACACCCATTTGACCTGTGACTCACTCTGCTGGCCTAAACACATGGCATGGGGGCGAAACCCCATGTCAATGCAAGTAACTGCAGCTCTCCTGCCAATTTAAAATATTTTAGCCAAGTCCATCCTTTAATGTCCCACTATAGTAGATTTCCCCAGCATGGTGTCCTCCAGAAGTTTTGAACGACAACTCCCATTTTCTCTTACACCTGGCCATCCTGGCTGGGAATCATGGGATTTGTAGTCCAAAACATCTGGCGGGCACCAGGTTGGGCACTATAACCATGTGAGCAGAACCCAAGCAGCACACAGTATGCCTCTTTAGAATTACACATCACATAAAACTGTTACAATTTGTGGGAATACACAATGCTTTGTCTCTAAAAAACAGCAATAAGCATTATCAAGGAAGTACTTTTCTGTTCAAATCCACCACATTATGCAATGACTTCCACATTAAAAGCATGCCCATTATTATTATTTTTTACCAAAAATGCTATTTATGTCTTTCAGTCATCTTACTTATGTCACTGTTATGACTGCATAAACTACTTGGCATGCAAGACAGGAACCATGTTTGGAATAAGCAAAAAATGTAATCAATGTTTAGGTTATATCTGTCCATCTCATTTATTTCAATGGTAAAGCTGGTTATTTTCCTAAGAGACAAAGCAATTCCTTCTGAAACCTTTTAGGGACCATGAACTCATGACAGTTCCCCTCTCCGCATGCAAGCTATCAATGCGCTTATGCATTAAGTGCCACAACTCCGTAGGCTGTGCAAGCTGCTTGGGAAGGAGCTACATTTTTCGAGTGGGACCTCATGTTTAGCATTACACTCTTTGCGTTTTTGATTTAAAGAAAAAACCATGCAAGGACTAAGGCAATAGTGGCCTATAATCATCCATCATTTTTCTTAAACTGTTAGAAAGTGAACTAAACTAAACGCGTTCCGCAGTGTCAGAAATAAAGTGGCCCAGTGTTGCCAATATTTCTTTTTTAAAAATGCTTCTGAATTCAGTTTCTTTAGACACACTTTAGATTGCAGGTTGTTTTTCTGCTGATGGAGGCAAACATCTCAGAACTCAAGTTCATTACAGCATTTGTAAAAAGTCACACACTCACCCACCGACACGCACACAAGACACATACAGGCCTCTCCACTCGTCTACACAAGAAACTACACAGCTACTCCACAAGACTGCAAAACCAAACTGTGGGGTGGTATTTGGACCACAGGCTCAGTGATATTGCATTTTAAAGGCCAAAATCATCCACAAAGGTCCAGCTCAACATGATCACTCCAGCATTTCAAACTTAGACATTCTGATTGGAAACTTCCTTGATTGTAAAACATCAGAATAGATATAACTGGTGCTGTTAAGTCATGCAAATTATAAGTATTCCACTGCTATGAAAATTAAGACCAGAGGCTGAGCACCATTTCAAAACAATGTTTCACTCACTATTTGTCACGGCAATAACCAGGGCAACAGGATCACTGTATGGCAGCACCTGACTAGCATGTTAGGCAACTGAAGACAAGAACCTTCTCCTTGCTCATCTATGGAATTACAACACTGTGTATTCAACTTCTGAGTCTAAGTAACTTGCACAGTTAATTCAATCAACCAGTTGCCAATAGTAAAGCTATAAAATAGCAAATTTGAATTCCATAGGTATCACATCAAAGACGTAGCCCTTAAAGGCAAGAAATAAACTGGTATCCTTAAACTTAAAAATGCAGGATGCTCAGACAGTCCCATGAGGTTTCTGCAAAAGGAACATCTGGATACAACATGGCTTCATTTTCCTTACAAGGTGGTACTTGTTAATGTGCTAAAATTTCCTTGTTAGTAAGGCTAAGCAATTTTTTACCCCCATCACAGTTGCTTCTTCCTGTTTCAGTAAAGAGATGAAGACATTTCCCACTTTGTAAACAGAGGGTTGTTTGGTTTCTTGACTGAACAGCATCCAAAGCAATCCACCATTTCTGAATACCAATGCAGAATATTTAACACATTCCAGTGTCCCACTATTCTCTTCACAAGCCGTTGATTTTTCAGAGCTCCTCTCTTTACTTTCAAGTACAGGTGGAATATTTTCCTTTTCGCATGATGGGATAATAGAAAAGAATCAAATTTAAAGGGGGGTGGGGGACCAACTACATCAACTCGCCAATAATCCTACTAACACTTGTGTCAAAGATGGAATTAGCATATTTGACTGAGTAAACTTGGCCACAAGTGACAAGTCCTGAAATTCAATATGCAGACATACACTTTGTTAACCTGTATTTATCAGTGGAGAATATGTAGAGTGCAAAGTGTCTTTGCTGGTGCTCTCCCATTCACCATCAACAACAACTTAAAGCAGCAGCTGTTGTCTGACAAAGCCAACATACACCGTTTGTGCTCACCCTGTAAATCTGTTGGCTGTGTCACAGATCTGCAGGTGCAGGAGATGTGCCGCAGGCAAGTGAACTGTAGAAGCTTATCCCAAATTCTTTCACTAAACTGATCAACTTCAATGTTCCGCTTGCAGTTAATGCCGCTACTCCACTTTGGATTTATCCCCAGAGACCCAATTTTAAACCACGAAGCGAAGTAGTCAGTTGTATCATCTTACCAAAAATACAGCAAATCAGGTCCAATTCCATCATTTGGAATGCTATTGTATATTACATGCAGAACAGCATGGATCATCTTTATCTGGCTGAGAGGCATAGTTCATCTGTCTGACAATCTCTGCAAAGAGTTCATCCACCATTGTTTTACTTTTGGCAGAAGTCTCCATAAAAGGACAGCCCCATTCTTCAGCCAGGGCTCTGCCTTCATTTGACGAAACTTCCCTCTCACTCTCCAGGTCCACTTTATTTCCAACCAGGATTACAGGCACCTTCTCATACCTGCAAGTAGATACAAAAACAAGGTTGAAGCCCTTTGCAATCTTAAGGAAAACAATGATGCCTAATATACTGATGCAGAATCTTGGATTTGTAAAACGGTACAATGAAGATTTTTAGGGACGCGGGTGGCGCTGTGGGTAAAACCTCAGCGCCTAGGACTTGCCGATCGCATGGTCGGCGGTTCGAATCCCCGCGGCGGGGTGAGCTCCCGTCGTTCGGTCCCAGCTCCTGCCCACCTAGCAGTTCGAAAGCACCCTTAAGTGCAAGTAGATAAATAGGTACCGCTTTACAGCAGGAAGGTAAACGGCGTTTCCGTGTGCTGCTCTGGTGCCGGTTCGCCATAGCAGCGTCGTCACGCTGGCCACGTGACCCAGAAGTGTCTGCGGACAGCGCTGGCTCCCGGCCTCTAGAGTAAGATGAGCGCACAACCCTAGAGTCTGTCAAGACTGGCCCGTACGGGCAGGGGTACCTTTACCTTTACAATGAAGATTTGGCAATGTGGCTCATTCTGGGAATCTTTAGCCCAGTTTTCTAGCTACTTTCAGTGTTGCTTTACATGATGTTTCAAAATGAAGAACAGAATGTTCATCAGTATATAACCATCTACTGAAATGTTAGTACTTTCCCACAACATGTTTGTCTCTAAAAAGCTTCAATAAGGCGGGGGGAGGGAGAGAGAGAGGATACCTTGGTTCACATGAGCCAAGTGGTTTGGCCATTTATGCCCCCACTTTTCTCTATTCCTCCTTGCACCTACTCTCTTGTCTGTTTTCACACACTAGGAACACATCCTGTGGAATTCTATCTGTTATATTTTAGCTGCCCAATCAGAATGAATTTCAGGAACCCCAAAGTTGTATTGAAAAAATATGACTTTCAAGCCGTCTGGCCTCCAAATGGCAACTAGGCATTCCATGGTTTAAGGAGCCATTTGGCACCTAGCTTATGTAATGTTGTCACTGCACCAATGTTGTCACTGCACCAACAAATCACCTGTCAGAAACCAGCAAGATCCAGGGCTGGTTCCCACCCCCAATATGTGCACATATTATTTTAATTTGGAAATCTTTGAAGTGGGTAGAGAAAAGAGGCCATTCATGTGTCTTCCAGAATAAAGATACAATGTGCTGAAATGTACCAAAGTGCACCGTGTTCTTGCAGCATTTCAGAAAGCAGAAGTGTTGGGAGACATTTTACATCTGTAGTCATCTATGATTCATGCTTCACCAAATATCCTTATTTTAAAGTAATGCTGCAATGCAGAAATCAATAGAGCCATGGCAAAAGAAGCTGTAACACGAACTTCCTTCTAGCAACACAGTTGTATACAAAGGTTACATGTTTCCACCACAAATGTTGGCATCTTTTTCTTAATGCACACAAAACACATGCAATTTGGGGAAATAATAAAACCAGACTTTTTTATGGGCGCCTAAGCCTTGCATGCTCACACTTGTTTGGGATTTGCAGATGTTCAACATGCAGTGGCAAGCGAGTTGCTCATGGAGGGGAGAGGTTGTGCTGTATTTTAAAGAAAGGCCGGTTAACCCTGAAGTACAACCACTTTAGTGGAACAGTGGGTCAGTGTGCCTTGCTGTTAACCAGAAGGTTGGTGGTTTAAGCCCACCCAGGGACGGCTGCGGGTGAGATTCCTGCATGCAGGGAGGGGGACTAGATAACCCCGGGGGTCCCTTTTGTGAAGATTGTGCAGATAAAATATCACAGATAGCATTCTAAAGGAAGTGTTGTTAGTGCGTGAAAACAGGCAAGATCCAAGGATTCCCAGGCATGCACCTCCAGATGGTGGAGACATCAGGCGCCATCCTGACACCTGGCAATCTTCACTTGGTTGCAAGTGGCCAATATCCAGGTGCAAAATGGCAAATTGTGAACACTGGTTTGTAACACCACCTAAAAACCACCATGTGCTGCAAAGTGCATAAGGAGGAACAAGCTGCCGTGAACCTTGTGTTCACTGCTTCCCATGTAGTCAAATTCAGAAGTTTCCATTTATACTTAATCACAACTTGCTGTGTCATCTAGACTCAGAAATGCAATTCACATTAACAATGGTTACTTTAAATAAGCCAGTTTCGGTAACCATGATTTAAAAGTTGGCTTGTTTGAAACTAATCATAATTAACATTAACTACAATGGCTTGGTCTGCACACAACACTAAACCATGATGTGCTAAACTATGGCTTATTAAACTACAGTTTAGTGTTATGTGTGAACCCAGCACAGCAGTTTAATGATAGTTTACCTATGGTTAAAGGTTGCTCATTCATCAAGCTTTATAGTTGGTATATACCTTAGTTAACATTAACCATAGCTTAAGAATTATGTGTGAATCTGGGCCGCCTTCTTAACTATGGTTAAAGAGTAGTCACTACCCAAAAGCAACAGAGCCACGAGTGAAGAGTATCAAAAATGTCAAACAAGTTAAAAGCTCCCACTAGTGCTTTTAACAATTCTGTAATGCAATAAACCAAGGTTTAAGTGATAACTTGCCAGACACCTCAGTGTTAACCGTGATTTGCTACTAAATCTGGTTTAGCCCTGTGTGAACCAAGCCGATGCCACTCTGGATGGTAAGATATAAAATATGCTTGACTGTACACTACACAACTCTTTTTAGAACATCCCTCAAATACAAAGCATTTCTTAAGCGTCACCAGCTTTCTTTGAATCTCTACGTTACATTGGATAGTTACAAATAGTAAATAATGTTCTGACCCTTTTACGCACAGAAGAGAGGTGAACTAACAGATACTGAATTAAAGTCTACTGATTCTAACGCAATCTCTCATCGTCAGTGAAAAGCAGGGTATTATGATTGCCGTCCCTCGCCCCAATATTTAAATATTGTGCTGTAGCGTGAGGACTGATCAGAGCATGTTTAAACCACAATATTTGCTGCCTATGCATGCAAACCCAACTTAGTAATGACAGTTACAACATTTGAAGACTGCCAATCAGCTATGTGCTCTAAAAGAATTACTAACCTTATTTTTATCAAGAGCTAAACATAAAATTCTGACAACAGCACAGATGTTGATTGATAAGACTTTCCTTTAAAAACAACACATTTCATTGAAGAATGATTTGCTGTTAAGTCTTATGTCAAAATCTCTCAGGGATAGAGAGACATAGCATTTCCTTTAAACCTTGAATTTCCCATGAATATCTGAGCTTCTATAATCCACTATAAAATCTCTTGATGTGTGCACATGGAGGGTGGGACTACTGGATATTCAACTTCCCTCTTGAATATCTGATCTTAAATCATCTTTGAAGTTCTGGAGTGGGACACCTGCCAGAACTCTTAAGGCAGCTTGAGAATGTTCCTGAATGAGGCTCTGTGCATGTACATGACCCATGTGTTTGACTGCACAGGTACCAAGAAGAGGCACATTTCCCAAGACGTTTTTGGAGGGGTTTGAAGGCCTGGAGAAGGAATGGACGTCCTCAGCAATCATAGACTATGTGCAGGATTTCACATGCAGCACTCTGGATTCTACCCTATAGTGGGGACTCAATAAAGAGTTTATCCAGATGGGCAACCGTCCGGCACTCCAACTCAAGAAGTGTGAGAAGCATGGAGCTAGAACCTAAATATCCAGAGCAACGGTTCTTTCTAGAAAAGACAAAAATAATTACATCATCCTCTGGACCGCCCCCCCCATACAAAACACCAGCAAACTATCACAAATAAACTGAACAGCGGCCCAAAATCCAGCACACTGCACTAACATCCGCCTCTAAAAATGTCTCTTGCAGAAGACAGGCAGAGGGTTCATTTGATAAAAATCAAATGGCTGAAGGAGAAAAAAACAATTCTGAATTGATGCAAGTTCATTTTTTATTTTTAAATTTCTATTATAGCAAGACCTCAGTGCAAACACCACTGCTGCTGTCTTAAATATTTCTTGGGAAAACAGTGTCAAGGGGAAGGAAATCCTTTGGATTCCATCTACGGAATACCATAGCCCACAAGATACATGGGCTGCATTAACAGAAACTCTGGATCACCCTCCTAGGCAGCATAAAAGCTCTGCTCATTTGTAGGTCAGCTTGCTATGATGATGCCAATTAGTGTGCACTTTTGTTTACAAAATATCCTGAATACAAATGGGAAATGTGATTTAAATTTACCCCCTCCTGCACATACACACCCATTCATACAACAAACCATTTCCCCACCTTTGATCAGGCCAAAAAATTTACTCCTTTTCATAATTCTCCTTATCCTTCTCTGATTTAGCTCACATCTTAGGCTATGAAACAGGAATGTTTTTCTAGTGTACATCACACATCTTTCTCAATATATGCCTTGGTTCCCTGAGCAGCTTCTGGTACATAAATGACAGAGAGGCCACAACTGGAAAATATTGCTTGGGCATAATAAAGTTTCTAGGATCTTCTCTACAATCAACACATGGAAGTCTACTTTTAAACAAACACCGAGATTTCCCAAAGAAACACATATTTTATTTCACCTAAGGAAGCCAAGAGGCCCAGATTTTGTATGGCACATAAATACATGTGCCAGAAGTAAAAAGTGAAATAGACAGATAATATTGTTATCCAGAGATGACATGCATTTTCACAGGTTTAATGTCAGGAAAATGTATTACGGTGAATTACTTTTTCAGACTTTAACCAACTGGTGGCATATTATCCCCATTAAATAAGGATGCAGAATTTTAGAATTTCAATGCTTTAACATAACTGGAGCAGAGCTTCTTGGCTGCCAAAGCAAATTTGGCTACCAGACATGTAATTTGTAGATATTTATTAGTTAAGAGTTCAACTATCACTTCCTGGAGGGATTGGCCTTAGAGTGAACTTTTATTTAAAATATAACACTGCTGGGAAAACATTTCAAATTCCTAGGACCTAGAAGCCAATATTTAGGAATCCAGGATTTTCCCATATATCAGGCAGCTCATATCTGAACCATATTATCTGCTCTCCTCTTCCTCCCTCACCATGCAAT